ATATAGACAATGATATCTTCAAAAAGACTGATTTCTTCTTTTTCAGTCTGTATGCCTTTTTGTACTGGCTACAACTTCTAGTATAACATTGAATAGGACTTAGCTTGCTACTGATTTTGAAGGGGAAAGAATTCAGGTTTTCACCATTAAGTATGGTGTCAGCTGTAGGGTTTTCTGCTGCTTCTTTTTTTTTTTTTTTTTTTCTCTAAGAGACAGGGTCTTACTATGATGTCCATCCAGGCTGGCCTTGAACTCCTGAGCTCAAGCGATTCTCAATCCTCTTGTGTCAGCCTCTTTAATAACTGGAACTATGGGTGCTTGCCATTGTGCCTGGTTTAGCTGGTAGGTTTTTGTAGATACCTTTCATCAGGTTATGGAAGTCCCATCTGTTCCTATGTTTCTGAGGCTTTTTATCATGAATGGGTGTTGAATTTTAATGAATGGAGACAATCACAGTTTTCTTTAGTCTTTATAGTGAATTACATTGATTTTTCAAATGTTGAACCAGACTTGCATTCCTGAGATAAACCACGCTTTACTATTATGTATTTTTTTATATTGCTGAATTAGATTTGCTAATATTTTATTGAAATTTTTGCATCTATTTTCTTGACGAATAGTGATCAATAGTTTCCTTATAATATCTCTTTGTCTGTTGGTACCAGGGTAATGCTTGTCTTACAAAGTAAGTTTAGAAATGTTCCCTGCTCTTTCATTTCCTGGACGATACTAAAGAATTGGCATTATATCTTCCTTGAATGTTTGGTACAATTTGCCAGTGAACCCATCTAGGCCTAGAGTTTTCTTTGTTAGAAGATGTTTATTAATTCATTTTTGAATAAGCATAGGATGATTTGGGTTGTGTATTTCTACTGGGATATGTTTGGGCAGTTGTGTAGCTCAAGAGATTTACCCATTTCATCAAAGTCATCTGATTTTCTGGCATAGAGCTGTTCCCTGTATTTTCTTACTCCTTTTAACATTGGTAGGGTCTGTAGTGATATCCTCTCTTTCATTCCTGATACTGGTAAAATAGTTGAAATTTACCCAGATATTTACCATTCGTTTCCCTTTAGTCATGAAGTTTCAAGATTTTTTCTAGTATCATTTATTTTATCTAAATAACTTTCTTTATAGCGAGTGCATAGGTGATAAATTCTCTTAGTTTTATCATTCTTGAAAGAAGTTTTGCAGGGTATAAAATTTGGACTTCACAGTTCCCCTTACTGCCCATCCGAGCATGTGAAGATTCTGATCCACTACCTTTGGCTTCCATCATTTCTAAAGAGAAAAAATAGTCATTCAAATCACTGCTCCCTTATACAAGATGCATCATTTTTCTCTGGTAGACCTCAAGATCTCAATTTTTGATTTCAAGTAATTTGATTTTGATGTGTGCAGGTATTGCTTTTTTTGTTTATCCTATTTGGTGTTCACTGAGCTCCTTAAATCTCTAGATATATGTCCTTCATCAAGTTTGGGGCTTTTTAGCAATTTTCTTCAAATATTTATTCTGTGCCAATCTCTTCTCCCGCTAGGACTTAAACACCACAAATGTTAGGCCCTTTGAAACTGTCCCATGGACAGTTTTCAATTACTTTGTTTTCAATCTTTTCTCCTCTGTACTTCAGATTGGATAATTTCTACTGACTCATCTTCAGGTTCAGTGACTTTCTATTTTCTCCATTTTTCTATTGAGCCCATACAGTGATTATTTGTTAAAAATTCAGATTTTTCTTTTACTTCTAAATTTTTCACTTAAAAAATTATTTTATTTCTCTGCTGAGTCCTATTTTCCTACTCTGAGAGTGTTTACTGCTATCTCATGAAGCATGGTTCTATCATTGCTTTAGAATTTTTGATAATTCTGGCTGGGCATGGTGGCTAACACCTGTAATCCTAGCACTTTGGAAGGCTGAGGCAGGAGGATCACTTGAGCTCAGGAGTTTGAGACCAGCCTAGGCAACACTGTGAGACCCCATTTCTATTAAAAACATTTTTTTTAATTAAAAAAATATTTTTGGATAGTTCTTAATATTTGGGTTAGGGTTGGGATCCATTGATTGCCTTTCATTAAAAATTAACCAGATTTTCCTAGTTCTCTGTAATTTTTCATTGTATCTTGGACATTTTAAATATTATACTGTGTGACTTGGATCCTGTTAAAAATCCCTGGAGGATGTCGTTTTTTGTTATTTGTTTTGGTTCTGCAGACAACTAAGTTGCGTTCAGACTGCAAATTCTGTGTCTCTTTGTTTGGGTGGTGGTCCCAATGTTCAAAGACCTTGCTGTGCTGGGTAGGCTTGCCCAGTGTGTGACCCACTCAGGAACTTAGAGGTGGTTTATACTGTAACGTGGTTCCTAACACTGCTGCCACGTTTCCCTGGATCTGTTCCACACGCAGGCACCTCAGAAGGAAAGCCTGCATTAGTGCTTCCCTGCTCTAGCTCTCTCCTCTCCAAGACTTCCTTCATATTCTCCAGATGACAACACGGTCTCTTGTATCTAGTTCCTCTGGCCAGAAAGACAAGTGTTCCTTAGAATTTTAGTCTCCTAACCTGTTGTGAATTCTGATTAAGGGAGAAAAAAACAGGGATTCCCTCCATACTCTCCAAACATCACCATTTATACCCTTTACAAATCTACTGACAAATCATTATTTATAATATTCTCTTATGATAGTCTAAAACATTTATTAAAATTTCAAAATATGCAAAAACAGACAAAATATATCTGTGTATCCAGCTTCCAACTTCAGTAATTATAACCTAGCCAATCTTATTTTATCTGTCTTTCCTCACTTCTAACTCTTACATACTAGAGACAAATCTCAGACGTTAAATCATTACATCTGTAAACATTTCTGTATCACTAAAGCCACTTAATAAATAACCTTTATCCTATTATCAAATCAAACAAATGAATAACTTAATATTAAATACCAGTGTTCAAACTTCTACACGCCTCTTAATGTCATCAGTTCCCTCCATTTACAGTTTGTCTGAATCAGTAAGTTCACTTGACTTTTATATCTCTTTTAATCTACAGATTCTTGTTTTTCCTTTCCCCCTCATTGTCATTTATTTATTAAAGAAACACAGTTTCTTTCCTCTCTTGTTCGGCAGGTCTACTTTCTAGTTGATTTGTCTCATAATAGTTTTAAAGCCTTGCTGTAGCTGATTTATAACTTTTCCATTTCTAATATTATTTATGTCTTTTTTTCCCTTTTTCTTTTTTTTTGAGACAGAGTCTTGCACTGTTGCCCAGCCTGGAGTGCAGTGGCATGAACTCGGCTCACTGCAAGCTCCGCCTCCTGGGTTCACGCCATTCTCCCGCCTCAGCCTCCCCAGTAGCTGGGACTACAGGTGCCCGCCATCATGCCCAGATAATTTTTTGTACTTTTAGTAGAGACGGAGTTCACTAAACCCGTCTTGATCTCCTGACCTTGTGATCCGCACGCCACCAGGATGGTCTTGATCTCCTGACCTCGTGATCCGCACGCCACTGCCTCCCAAAGTGCTGGGATTACAGGCATGAGCCACTGTGCCTGGACTATTTATGTCTTTTTTTTCTAGATCAATCTTGGCAGAAGTATGCCTGTTGTTACCTTTTACAAAGAGCCCATGTCAGGCCTCATTGATTTATTCTTTTTGTATCTTCATTTTTAAAAAAAATTTCTGTTTTATGATTGCCCTTTCTTTGGATTTTTCTTTTAACTTCTGGAGTCTTAACTAAATTTCAGTCTTTTTTCTCAAAGTACGGTTTTAGCTGTACCCCACAGTTTTTTTATATGTAGTATTTTCATTAATGCATTTTAAATGTATTCAAATTTTCACACTGATTTCTTCTGTGTCTTACAAATTACTAAGTGGTATATTATTATATTTCCAAACATATGGAGTTTTAAAGTAATCTTTGGTTGCTGATTCTTGGTTTAATTGCATTTTTGTCATAGGATGCTCTGCATATACGTTCAGACTTCCTTTGTTAGCTAACCACGTGTATCTGTTTTGATAAATGTTTTATGAATGCTAGTAGAGAATGCCTGTTCTCTGGATGTTGGGAGCAAGATACCATGTCCATTAAGCATATACTGTGTTATTTAAATCTTTTGAGCCATATTAACTTTGTGTATGCTTGACCTGTGAATTACTAAGAAGTAAAAAAAAAAAAAATTACCGACTGTGTTATGGATTTGTCGATTTTCCTTGACAATCAGCAATCTATGTTTTGTGCATTTTAAGGCTACATTAATACCTGAGATTTATCTAGTGAGATAGTGACATTACTGATTTCTGTTTTAATAGTTACATCAGCTCTTTTTTGACATTTGTCTGTTATTTCTTTCCTAGTTTTGTATTTTCAAAACTTCCTGTAATTATCCTGTAAACAAGATATATTTGGATTTTAACTGTAGCATTTAATTCATGTATTATTTTGCAGAGAAACACCTTCATTTTGCCCTCATTCTTTTATTTTTTATTTTTACAGGTATATAATAGATATATGTATTTATGGGGTGCCTGAGATATCATGATATAGGCATACAGTACATAATTACATCAGGATAAATGGGGGATCCATCATCTCAAGTATTTATCATGTGTTACAAATGACCCAATTACGCTTAAACTGTACAATAAATTGTTGACTGTAGTCACTCTGTTGTGCTATCAAATACCAGGTATTAATTCTATCTAATTATACTTTTGTACTCATTAATCATCCCCGCCACTGCCTTCAGTCTTAAATGACAATGAACACTCTTAACACTATGAAGACATTATTCTATTGTCTCGGGCTTCTATTTTGCTATTGATAATTCTGGTGTCAATCTTAATAGTATCCTTTTGTAGACTATTTTCTCTGTTGTTTAAAAACTTTTCTCCTTGTCTGTGGGGTACAATGTCAGTGTCACTTAAATTTTTTTTTCCTGCTTGGGAGTCACCCTGTGTCATGCTTTTTATCAGTTCTTGAAATTTTCTTTTTTTTCCTTTTCACATCAGATAGGCAATGTGCCGACATGGTAACAAGGCTGGAGGGAGGCGCACATCACGTGTGTGCGTGAAGACCTGGGCATCAGGCTTACTTACACACTACAGAGTATCAGTTATGGAAAATCCTAATAAACTGCCACCTCTTCCAGCAATACGCTCTGGGTAATTTCCTCAGATATATCTTTTTAATAGCCACTTTTAACTTATAGACCTCCTATTTGGTTATTTTAAAAATGAACGTGGTCATTTTTCTTTCTCATCTCTGTTTCCTTCTTGGAGGATATGTGAAACACTCAAGTTCTTGGGGATCTAAGGAACTCCTTCCTGTTTGTTATGTTGGTGAACTCATACCCATGGTGGGCTGTGAGCATAGGGGTTTCAGAATCTGGGGGCTGTGAGCTGACCTGCAGCAGTGTTTCATCCATGCCAACCCTGCAGCTTTCTTGGTGACTTTTAGATTTATTTTTGCCAGGTGACTCAAAGGTTTAATGCACCCAGGACCATTTTGTTAGTTTTTGGACTTAGTGACTCCTGGGTTGAGCAGGGAATGTAAATCCATTTCTCAAACCCTAATAAAGGCAGGGTTTCTAAGTATAAAGCTAGGGGGGACACCAGCCTCACCCCCAACCTCACCCTGAGACTAAACCCAGAAAAACAAGCTTCTTTGTCATCAGCATGTGGCAGTGAAACATTTTTTCTAATCTATGCTTTCATGTGAGTTGCCACCCTTTGAGGGCTCCAGCTTCATGTGAGTCTCATAAAGGCCATGTGAACTCCAGGACTCTTCTTTTCTCAGTATGGGAATTAAAAGGAAGCTCTCAGTATGTCTACCCCTGTGCTGTAACAGGTTATGAAAATCAGCCAGGGGCATTTGTAACATCCATTTTAATTTATTAATTTATAGTTCTGTCTCTTCATTTCTCACCCATACGCATTACCCTCTTTTTCTCCTTCCTGGAGCTTACACATATGCTTTTAAAAGAATTATTTGTCATATTTTACCCAATGTTTCCATGTGTCTTCTAGCAGATGGGTTTTCAGGTTACTTTATCTATCATATTACCCAATCTTTAAATCTGATTTTCATGATTCTTGAGAGGTATGTTTTCCCACCCTCTCTCCTCTTTTCCCTCTTTTTACATAATACACATTAAATATAATTTTAACTCTGTTGATATTCCTAGAAGTATAAATTAAATGCAGTAGTAGTCAGTATCCAATCTCAATCTGTTGGAGTTATTTAAAAACATCCTTCCCTGCAGTTCTTTCCAATAAAAGCGCCCCATGAGGAGCGGAGGACAGCAGGGTAAGAACAGACTTGACACATTTGGGTTTCGTTTTTAGATTGCTACGACCAACTCTGTAACTTCTGAGAACACACTTTCACCTCTTGTGGCCTATTTTCCTCATAAAGATGTTAATGAATCTATAATCATGCTGATCAATATGCACACCTACCAATTGGGAACTGACAGGTCTTAAGAATCTTAATCTTTTATAATTGAGAATCTTAATATACATGTAATATTCCTGAATTTAACTATATTCCAGTTTATTTAACTATAATAATGCTGGGATCTTAGTAGGTGCCAATAAAGCGAAATAAAATACATTTTTAAAAAGTTGCAATATCAGTTTATGTAGTCAATAAATATTTTCACAAACCAAAATAACATATTTTACAAATCATGCCTTATCATGATATTCTTCTCTGAAGAGACTCAACACATAATAATACCTTAGCTTTTGGAGTGGCTTTAATGGTCCAGATGCAATCAACGGCTTGGCCTGGTTTTGTTTTCTCCTCTTGTTCTACCTGACTAGAGCGCACTATTCCATCAGCTCCCGAGAGCTCAAACTGACAATCTAGAAGGAATACATGAAAGGTGTTCAAAGGAACATAAGACTGATCAAAAATGCCAAGAGGAACAAGTGGTAATATACTAAACCTGGAATGGGATTTAAAATACCTCCTAGGTAAGTAAAATCTGGATCTGCAACAGAAAAAAGAAGAAAGTCATTGGTACTGAGATAGTTACTTTAAGCTTTGATGTCTTACATTACATCTAATGCTCCATTTCATAGCAAGCTAAGAGAAGCTTTCATTGGTGAAAACGACACATCATTGCTCATTTATGAGCTCACTTACAGGATCGACATTTATTTAATCACATTTATATTTTTGATTCCATAGTGAATAATTTATTTATGCTACTTGAAAACTCACATCAGCTATCAGAGCTGAACAGGTAAACAGAACATCACATATACAATATAATAGAATATTATTCGGCCTTAAAAAGGAATGAAGTTCCCTTCTCCTGAAGCATGTTAAAATTTGTCTTCTAAACTTTGGCATGGATGGTGGTGATGCTTGCGTAATACTGTGAATGTACTTAATGCCACTGAATTACACACTTAAAAATGGTTAAACAGAGCTGGGCGTGGTGGCTCATGCCTGTAGTCCCAGCAACTTGGGAAGCTGACCTGGGAGGAACTTTTGAGCCCAGGAGGTTGAGAATGCAGTGAGCAGAGAGAGCGCCATTGCCCTCCAGCCTAGGTGACAAAATGAGTCTTTAAAAAAAAAAAAAAAAAGGTTAAAGGGTAAATTTTGTTATGGATATTTTACCACAATAAAAATAAATTTTTAGAAATTACAAACACAGGTATCTTTAAACAATTATTTTAAAGTTCAGATAGAACCTGTGTATATATCCAACTGCCAGAATAAAAAAAAAAAATTGCTGAGTAGTCTAAAATGTCTCAGATTTCTGGAAAATCTATTTCTTTATTTTTGGTTTTGTTTTTTTTTTGAGATAGAGTTTCACACTGTTGCCCAGGCTGGAGTGCAATGGCTTGATCTCTGCTCACTGCAACCTCTGCCTCCCGGGTTCAAGCGATTCTCCTGCCTCAGCCTCCCAAGTAGCTGGGATTACAGGTGCCCACCACCACGCCCAGCTAATTTTTCATATTTTTAGTAGAGACACGGTTTCACTATGTTGGTCAGGCTGGTCTCAAACTCCTGACCTCGTGATCCACCCACCTTGGCCTCTCAAAGTGCTGGGATTACAGGTGTGAGCCACCGCACTTGGCCTGGAAAATCTATTTCAATTCACAATTTAATTGTGTACAACTAGAGACTCAATTCCTGTTAAAACTGTTGTCTTTAATTCCAGACACTTTAGGAAGTCATCAAATTACATATTTTAAAAAGAGGAAAAAAATTATTAGCTTATGTAGAATATATTTTAGCAACTGTTCTTTTTGAACTTTATAAACAAAACTTGTCCTTGCTAAAAGAGGACAACAGACGTTTCGGCTCTTTTGCAGAGAAATGTCAAAGAGAAATTGAAATCTTAAACAGCATGGCGGAGGGGAATCACAGGAACTGTCTGGCAAATTAATCAGAACTAGTTCACATGTATTCCAGAAATCTAGGATATTGTCATTATCACATTAAAATGTCCATAATTATCCCAGTTACATCCAGGAACTAACAACCCATTAAGAGCCTCTGCCTCAGTAAATATCACCAATAGCTTAGAGAATTTCATTAAAAAAATACGAACTTCTCACCATTGTTAATAGGTTTCTTCCAGAATTACCAACTCCTAGACAAAACTTATTTTATTAACATGACTTGAAATAACATCAGACAGAGATATATTTAGCTAATTATGCATTGCCTATTTATTTTGACATGTGTTGGCTTTCTCTTTTAGTGATAAAATTGTGGACTTCTCATCCACATTTTTTTTTAATAAGGCTTTTCTTCAATGTGACCTCACCCACATTATAAAGGTGACATGAGAAGAGCAGGAAGTATTGCCTAGTGAATTGCAATCTAGTCCTGGATTTGCCATTCTATGAACTAAGAAAATCACTTAATCTCTGACTCAGTTTCCTCATCTGTAAAATATTATATAATCCTGACATTACTGTCATTAGCACAAAATTAAATATAATGTCTATCAAAACTGTGAAGCACTATAAAATGCAAATGAAAGGTGATAAACTCTAGAAATCCTAAGCATTTTGTTATACTTTGTCTATATTTTAACTATAGGCCATTTAAAGTTGCTCTCATGATCTATAACATGAATAGAGGAAAAAGAGCTACTTGACTCCAAAGTAAGTATCTTTACATATGAAGTTGGCTGATTTTGTTTTTAAATACTTAAAAACACTATTCAAATAAGTGTATTCTTGGATGTCTTTTTCTGTCAAGTAGTCTAAACTTATGTACAGTCATCATCTATTGTGTCTTCATGACACTAATGTTTCAACTACTTCAGTCAGTTGATTTAGTTAATAAAAATAAAACACCTAACCAATTTAATCCAATCAGTCATTTTGATATAAACTATTGGTTCTCAAACTCCTGTGGACTATTTCACAAGGCAGGGTATCCTGTGTATCTTTCTTTTCCCTGCCACTGTGAAAAAACAGCTTACTAGCTACTAGTTTTTTTTTGAGACAGATTCTTGCTCTGTTGCCCAGGCTGGAGTACAGTGGTATAATCTTGGCTCTCTGCAACCTCCACCTCCCAAGTTCAAGCGATTCTCCTGCCTCAGCCTCCCAAGTGGGTGGGATTACAGACATGCACCACCACACCCAGCTAATTGTATTTTTAATAGAGATGGGATTTTGCCATGTTGGCCAGGCTGGCCTCAAATTCCTGACCTCATGTGATCCACCCACCTCAGCCTCTCAAAGTGCTGGGATTACAGATGTAAGCCACCGCACCCGGCCACTACTACTTTTTAATTGTGGTAGATTATACATAACATAAAATTCATAATGTTGCTCTTTTTTAAGAGACAGGGTGTTGCTCTGTCACCCAGGCTGGAGTGCAGTGGTGCAATCATAGCTCACTATAACTTTGAACTTCTGGGCTCAAGCAATCCTCCAGCCTCAGCCTCCTGAGTAGCTGGGATGACAAGTGTGCACCACACGCCTGGCTTCACCATTTTTAAGTTTACAATTCAGTGGCATTAAGCATATTTACAATGTTGTACAACCATCACCATTTTTTTATTTTCAGAATTTTTAATCATCCCAAGCTGAAAGTCTACACCCATTAAACATTAAATCCCCTTCCCCCACAAACCCTGATAACCATTCCACTTTCTGTTTCAATGAATGTTACTACTTTAGATACCGTATATAAATGGAGTCATATTTGTGTTTTTGCTTCTGGCTTATCTTATTTAGCATAATGTTTCAAGGTTCATCCATGTTGTGGCATGTATTAGAATTTACTCAAATGAATTAACTCATGTCCACACAAAAACCTGCACATGAATAGCAGCTTTATTCATAATTGCTAAAATGTGGAAGCAACCAAGATGTCCTTCAGTAGAATGGATACACAACCCATGGTACATCTAGACAATGAAGTATTATTTGGTGTGAAAAATGAGCTATCAAGCCACAAAAAGACATGGAGGAAACTTATATGCATACTGCTAACTGGAAAAGGCTCCATACTGTATGATTCCAGTTACATGACATTCTGGAAATACCAAGACTAGGGAGATACTGAAGAGAACAGCGATTGCCAATGGTTTGGGGAAAGGGAAGGATGAAGAGGCAGAGTACGGGGGACTGTTAGGGCAGTGGGACTGTCCTGTATGGTTCTGTAAGGGCGGATACATGTCATCATGCATTTGTCAAAACCCACAGAGCACACCCTACCGCGAGTGAACCCTAATGTCAACTATAGACTAAAGGCTTTGGGTAATAATGATGCATGGATGTTGGCTCATCATTGGTAACAAATGCACCACTCTCATGAAAGATGCCGATGGAAAGGGAGGCAGGAGGTTTATGGTGACTCTACTTCCTGTGTAATTTTGATGGGAACCTAAAACTGTTCTAAAAAATAAAGTCTATTAGACAAATTTTACTTTTTGGAAATATCCTTTTGGCACTGAGCAAATAAATACTTGTTTGGCTATGGGGATTACAGAAAACAAATTTAAAAAGAGCAGATATATACTGAAGCAAACCTTAAAATTTCCTACATGAGTACTGACAGGGAAAAAAAGGTTGTTTATGTTTTTCAGGCAAAAAAGCAGATAATAAAGTTATATGTGTACCATAATCCCAATCTTGTATAACAAACAAAAGAAACAGATACAGAAAAACACTGGAAGGGATATACACCAAATTGTTAACACTGATTTCATATACAGCGTGGAAGAATTATGGATATTTTCTTTTCATTTCAATGTTTTAATTTTTTCCAATTAAATTTCTTGCATGAAAAATAAATAAAAGCAAAAAGATCATACAGTTGTTTTAGTGTTATTTTTTCATATCGTTAGTGTGTAAGCTTGGTGAAGACAGGAACAGTAACTTGCACATCTCTGTGTTTCTACATTAGGGATATGTACGTGCCATAATGGACAGGGCTTTACAGTTCTCAGAGTGTTCTCACCTACTGTGAGGCAGGTAACAAGGTGGAGGAGGCTGATGGTACAGTAGCCCCCCAGTATACACACACTGGAATCCCCATAACCTGTGAGTAGTAGGGTGCATATATATATGTGTGTGTGTGTGTGTGTATATATACATATATAGTTTTTAAAAAGAGTAAATATTACAAGGTAAAAGATGCCATTAGGTTAAGGATCTTGAAAAGAGTAGAAAGAGCTGTGAAGAGGGAGGCTGAGACTGAAGTGATGTGGCCACAGCCCAGCAAGGCTGGGGCACCCACTGGAGGCTGGAAGAAGCAAAGACCAGATTCTCCCCCAGGTTCCTAAAGGGAATGAGGCCCTGTGTAATTTTGGACTTCTGGTCTCCCCAAATGCAAGAAAATCAGTTTCTGCTGTTTTAAGTGGCCAAATTTGAGGTAATTAGTTATGGCAGCATCAGTAAACTAATACAGCAGGCATTCCCATTTTACTAATGGCAAATCTCAGGCATAATTCTGTGCTTAATAGTCTCATAGCTATTAGGAGGCAGAGAAAGAATTCAAACTCAGATTTTTGACATCCAAGTGCAGAGCAGTGTTCTTTCTATTGCTCAATATATTCTAGAGTATTTATTCAGTTGAGTGGTTAATTATAACAGCTAAATGAGAAAAATCATACAAAACAATTTTTGTGGAAATTCTGAAAACAAGACAATTTGTTGAATTATTTTTAAAACTGTATTCATTTTTAAATATATTTCAAATGTTAGCCTGAGCATGTGCTGTAAGACAGAAAAAAATCTAAGAAAATGTGGCACCATCTCTGATATGCTTCAAATTTCAAGTGATACGTTTCTATGTCCAATTTCCATTAACTTCTTATTTGTTCATGGACTAATTTCCCTTTGACTTTGCTAATTTATTTAAAATCTTGACTTGATTAACTTGACCAAATTAATCTCTTTTCTAACCTTAAGATTCTAAAATCAGAGTTAGAGTGAGATGCCCAACCACTTAAAAGATAACTTATTCTTTACCTGGAATAAATGAGTATTTTGCTCGAAATCCCAGTCCTTCAAGCTCTTCATCAGAACTAAACTTAATCCACATGAATCTCCCTGTTGATCTAATTAATGGAGGGCTTTTCACACCACAGTAACGATCTATAAGAGGAGAGAAACCAAATGGCCCATCTCGAACTTCCAAGTGATCAAACCGACACTCAAATGATGGTTCTATATAATAATGTTCATCAAAGGTCAACTCTATTCTTTGACGTGGAGCAGCTAGAAAATAAGAGTAAGCAAATCAGGGCAACACAAACAAGAAAAAATATAAATGTATTGACACAAATGAGAAAAGCAGAACAACTGTTCTGCTAACTGCTTCATAGACAAAGGTTTTAGTGAGAATTGCTATACAAGTCATGATAAATGTTGTATCTTACAATAAAAATAATGCTACTCTGTAGAAGTATAGTAATCTTTTCCTTTGGCACATGCTATCTACTAAATTAAATATTTTTGAGTGATTCAAACTGAAGAGTCAAGAAGCTAATACTTACTTAGTTCAAGATACAATGTACCACAATACACAGAAAAATAAACAGAAGAAATGAAAGGAACTCACTTATGTGGACATAAATTTGAATTAAGCCTTATAAGGGATGCCAGTAAGTTTAAGTTTCTTATCAAAGAAGTTTTTCATATATACTAATGTACCTAGTTGAATTATACTTTGGGAGATTCAAACTTTCCCTAACATTTCTGCTAGTATCTTGTAAATGTATTCGATATGCAGAAATACTTATCATTACTATAGTTTAATTCAAATACATGTTTAAATCTCATTCAAACTGGTTTACATAGGTCATTTTACCAACATATTTAGTTTTACAATAAAGTAAAAATTAATCCAAGAAAATAAATTGGTCAAATACCTTCCAAAATGTAGATACACTCCTTGTTTGGTGGATATGAGTTAGGATAATTTGGTGAAGCGAAATGACCTCCATTGCTGGTTCGAACCCAAATGCCACACTGGGTTGCAGGAATGTGCTTGATTCCAATATTTTGTCCATCTTAGGGAAAAACGGCATTTAAAACACTCGTTACAGCAAAAGAGAATCATTTTTATTTTTCCCCACCAGTTTCCAAACAACTGCTCACTCTATGCTACATATGTAAAATTTTGTAAGAACCACTGTCAAATTTAGCACAATAAATTGAGTATAGAAGTGAAAGATAGGGAGGGAAAACTTGCTGGGAGAGGACAAGTTTGCCGTGTAAAATAACGGAAATAAAGGGCTTATACGCACTTAACAAAGGGCAAAACCGTATGGGGGAACCTGCTAAGTCAGTAAGATGCAATACAATTCAGTTCTAACCTAAAAATGAAGGTATCCCAGGAAATGATCTCTGAGATGGGGCCCTCATACTTAGATTAACACAACAGTGAAAGAAGATTCAAAGGTTACACAGGGATTTTAGTTGAAGATTGTAGACTAAACACATGCACTTAGCTCTGCTCCTTCCTCAAACTCCACTTAAACAACAATAAAAGCATTTTTAAAAGGATATAAACTCTTAAATACAAAGGGGTAGATATAGCAGTAACAACTGGCTGTACCAGGAAGTTGGGTGGGGGGGGGGGTGGTGAGTGAAACTGGGCTTTTTAAAAACACAAGGCTAGTTAAAAGTTTGTTTAGAATGAGTTGGATTTTCAGTACCCTTTCCTCCTCCACAAATCTAGCAGCTCTACAACCACATCAGAACACTAAAGGTGATTTCTTTGGAGAAGGTAAAACAGGGTTACTGGACTAGGGGACACCAGGCACAGCTGAGAAGGAAAACAGGGAGATGAGTGAATGTTAGCATATGTTCCAGCCTTCATTTCCTGCTGAACTCCCACAAAGGCCTCCTGATCAGATATTGAGCCTTTAAGCAGGAAAAGAAAAGATTCTTCTCTGTGAATCGAAACAGCCCCTAGGAAAGGCTTGATGCAGACGCAGGAGTTCCCCAATGTCAGATCTGTCAACAGTAAGAGCAGCCAGTAACTGATCCTTGCCCACACCTGCAGACAGTTAATGATCAGTTTTTAGTGTCCCTCTTAAAATATGAGCCCTCAAGGATCACCAGATATTGGAGGAAAATCACTAATATAAATAAATTAATAATTAATTAAAAAAAAAACTGGAGAAAAGCAACTCTGAGAAGATAAAGACTATGCAAGAAAAATATTTAAACACCACCACCACCACCACAAAATAATCATTTAATATCCTGGAAAGAAAAGCAAGTAAATCCACAAGACAAAAACAAAGTGTACAAACAGAATATTATATTCAGAAAACAGAACCAAAAAAAGCTTCCAAAGACAGAAGAAATGAAAAAATCAGCAGAATGTTCAGAGCAGAGTTCAGAGCAGAGTTCAGCAAACTATGACCCTGTTCCAAACATAACCTGGAGCCTGCTGTAAATAAAGTTTTACTGGAATATACCCATGCCCATCATTTGTGTGCTTTTGTTCCAGGACAGAAGAGTCAAGGAATTCGAAGAGTTGCTTCAGAGACTGTAGGGCCTACAGTGCCTTAAATACTTTCGATCTGATCCACAGAAAAAGTGTTCTAACTCCTGGTTTAGAGGTAAAGTTGAGGAAGTCTCAGAGAATGTGGAGCAAAAAGATGGAAAGCAGAAGAGCTAGAAACAAAAACCAAGAGGGTCATAACCAAGTAAAATAATAGAATTCCTGAAAAGGCAGAAGAGAGAAAACGGAGGAAAGGGAATTTTAAAAATTAAAACAGAAAAAAAAAAAAAAAAAAGAAAACTTCCTAAAGACAAAATTCAGCTGAATGAGTGACTTAATGTAAATCCTGAATACTGAGTTAACCGGAATTATGACAGAACTGTGTTGAGAAGGCTGGTACAAATGCAAGGTACAAGAACACTCATATATGGATGGAGTGGACAGTAGGTGTGTGAAAGAGCTAAATTCTTATCTTCCACGGTGAAAAATCATTATCTAATTTCTAAAACTGAAATAACCAAGTAGCAATACAGCATGTTATTTAGAGAAAGGAAGGGAAATACCAAAAGAATCAGCTAAGAGTGATTATTTCCATGGAGCAGGAAGTTAAGTAGGGCAAGATAGGGAACTCATTTTTGCTAACTAACTTTTTAGGAATGCTTTGATTTTTATCATGTGTATGTATTACTTAGATGAAAATAAAAAACAAACAAGGTTACACTGGAAATGTACTAAATTCAGACATAAAAATCTGGCTCAAAAAAAACAATCACACTAGCTAATCATCAATCATAAATCAAGACAAAAGAACAGGACCAAAGGACTTTGAGTAAGATATTAATTGAAGTGTTTCATTTGTTTAAATTAGAAAAAGGGACTTTTATTTTTGCTTAGTGATAAAATATAAATCTCATTTAATTTTTGGACATAATACACAGTATGCTAGGAGCTACTAGTGATGTCAATTTTTAAAATTTATCAGGGCAAGACTTTATGCTGACAATTTACTCTAGTTAACTGCAGCTAAACCCAGTAAAATTGAGGCTGATGGGTTGACAGAAAGCCTTAGGTCACTGGAACACCCCAAAGGGATTATGGAAATAGTACCCAAAAGTTGCAATCCTTTCAAATAAGCCATTCCATTGTCTTAAACATGCAGTAAGTCACCAATGTAAGTACTTTACCTTGGGTTTTTTGGGCCACAGCAATCCCTTCCACTACCAGTACTGTTATTAACAACACTAGAGAAATAACAGAGAAGAAAAGTTATGAAATTGAATCTATACTACATTTTACTAAGTCAATAAAGAAAATCAGATGACAAAAAAAGATGAACTAAAATCACTATTTATTAGTAAAATTCACTATCAAGATTTTTAAGCATTAAATGTAATGCTCTGATTTGCTACCTAACCCTTAAGATAACCCAAGAAAAGACAAGTGGTTTTGTACTCATTTATATAAGCATTTAATAATACATGGCATTTAAAGCATTTTTCAACTTAATAGCTTTAAAAAAAAACACTTAGTTTTTGCAACAGACCTTGCTCATCCTAACTATTCCTCTATTTACTGTAGTCCATCTCAAAGTTTACATGCAGTATAGCTGGCTCTGCAACGTGCTATGGCAGTGAAAGTTCAATTAGATTATATCTGCTTTCTGAGAACATTCATAATCAAGACACAAGTAAGGGGGCAGCAGTCTCCTAGAAATCAATTCAAACTGTCTTATCATCTTGCAGTACTATGCTGTCCTCTGTGCTACAAAGGCTAGCCGTATTTAACACTGAAGCTTTTTTTCCATGTTGAACATTTCTGAGATCCAATCAACAACATACTGAATTGTTTTGTGTATGTGGTTTGAAGATTTAAAGAAACAGTTTTATGGGTGGTACACTCTCCCTTTCAATGGAAACCACACTGCCAGTCTGTGCTGAACTACTGCTGGAGTTATTCATTCAGTGAATAGGCACTTACAGAGTATCCACTGAAGAGTGGGCACCAAGGATGCACAGGTGTGGAGAGACAAACAGAGCAAAATGGTTAAGAGTGTGGACTTAAGGAGTTTCATGAATCTAGGCTAGGGTTCAAGTTTTGCCTTCTACCAGCTGTGAGGCCTTTCCAGCTCAGTTTACTTATTTGTAAAATGCAGATGACGTATAAATAGGTCAACCTCATTGGTGGCTGTGAAGATTAAATGAGAGAATGTGTATAGTACTTTTATGTGCCAGGCATTCTGCTAAATAAACGATGGAGATTAGGACAAACCAGCATCCACAAGGAATCAATGTATTGTTGAATCTACAATACAAGGTGAAACGGAGTTTAACAGGAGATATGCAGAAGGCATAACGGAAGCAGAGGGTCCATTCTGCTGGGGGTTAAGGGAAACAGAATGAGGAAAACTCCCAAAAAAGAAGGCATACTCTGGTTGGACCTTATAGTACTTGAGCCCAGGAGAAGGAGAAAGAAACAGCTTAAATAAGAACATGGAGGGCAGGGTGCGGTGGCTCATGCCTGCAAATCCCAACACCTTGGGAGGCTGAAGCGAGAGGACTGCTTGAGCCCAGGAGTTCCAGAGGCCCTGTCTCTATGAAAAAAAAAAAAAATCAGCCAGGCATGGTGGCACGTGCCTATACTCCCAGCCACTTGGGTAGCTGAGGCAGGAGGATCACTAGTGCCCAGAAGTTAGAGGCTGCAGTGAGCCGTGATTGTGTCACTGCACTACTGCCTGGGTGAAAGTGTGAGACCATGCCTCAATAAAATAAAATAAAATAAAATAAAATAAAATAAAATAAAATAAAAACACTGAGGCATGAGCTCTAACCTACAGCAGGTTTTGGGGAACTCTGAGTAATACAGTGTGGTTGGCAAGTGGAAGGCTACAGCGGTATAGTAGGTTAGAGAAAAGTTGGGTGAGATCTGATTGTAACAAGTTTTGAATGGCATGCTAAAAAGTTTGGACTTCTAACTATAATGAGAAGCCCTTGTAGGTTTTTAAACAGGTGTACGGCGTTATCACTTCTGTGTTTTAGACCAATAATCCTAATGGTTGTGTGGAGTCTACACTTTTAATGAGAAGAGAGAAGACCATTGGGAAGGAAAGGTGATCATGTTTGCATTACCATCTTTGAAGCAGAGTGGTGGCAGTGGAAAGGGAAAGGAGGAGAAACTAATGACATGGTTCAGATGTACAGTCAAGTGCAACTTACAGGACGAGAGAGGTGAGGGAGGTGGAGGCACTGGAGTCTGCTAGTGCAAGTGGTTAGTAGACAGTTACCACTGTTCACTCAATAGCATGTACTGGGTGTCTACTACCAAAGTCACCAATGTAGAAATGGTTAAGAGGTAGCTCTTGTTATTCAGTTCACATCTTAAAATCTAATTATTTGACCTCTTCATCCTTGGTTTCTGGCATCCTTCCTGACCTCTGTGTCTCCTCTGTCTTTTCTCAATAACATTAATTTCCCCTTTCCCTTTCTTTGGTTGACGGTAGTGTTGAAGATCTCACGTTATGCTGAGATCTTTAACTCTTCACATCTCTACACTGGATCTGATTAGAAGAATGGAGTTGTGAAACATTTTTTTAAAACAGAAGATTTATGACCAAAAAGAAAAGTCAGGTAATAGTAGGTATTTGATAATTCAGCAAATAACCCAACCATTTGTATCAATTTATCTCATTAGAAGACACTATCTCCCCATATCATTCAGATCATACACCACTGGTCAATATTTCGTGCTCAGTATACCGTTCCTCCTTAATCACAGGTGTAACTATTTACCAGTTTGACATTTACAAATCTATCTATAAGCAAATAACCACACAAAGCCAGCAGACAGGGCATGTAAGAGGCCAATAAACTGAAGGCAAGACAGCAATGGCAACTATGGCAAAGGGATGAACTGTGGCAGCACAATTATGGTATACAATGACCAATAAAAATGTGCCTGTATAAAATAACTGCTTTATGAAATTTGCACAGAATACACAAGTAAGATAGAACAATCATACTGAAAATAAAGTTGCAAGGCCAAATAGCCTATTATATTCTTTTCCACTTTATTTAGAGGGCTGTGCAGTTTTCTTTTTTTCTCAAGTAATTACTAGCTATTCACAACTCAATCGACCAAATGAGCTGAGCCACTAAATATAAAAACGACGTATAAAGAATAGGGCGAATCTGCACAGCAATTAGGGATAGAAAGATTTACTGATACAGTTTTTGGTAATACAGTTGTGACTATTAATCCATTCTAAATTCTGTATCATTATAAACACAGTTTCCTGAGTTGTATAACAAGGTCTTTGTATACTGCTTGAGTTATAACCAGGCTGAGATATTAAAACAAATTCCCATTAATGCTAAACCCTGCCATTATTTAGCACATGAAGCAGTTCTGTGGTTCTTTGTTCTGTCTTTATTCCCAATCTAGGTGCCACTGTTCCCTCTTACCAAAAGGATCAATAATATCTCAAATACAGGAATACCTCAGACTTTGAATTCAATGATAATGTATATAGGAAGGCACTAATTCTATAAGGCAGAAATCTACACAAAAATAAAAATTCTAAACTCTTTAATCTGCAATTTGATTGTACAGAGAACTGCTTGTGATTTGATGCTTGAGAAAGGTAGTGCCCACCATTTATGACATTACTCCTGGTTCGAGAGTTGAATTTACTCTTATAATAACCTTTGTACAGATCTGACCTAAAATGAAGTCACTCAGATGATAAAGATAGGTGCTATTCAGGCTGTCAAACAATCCTCAAAGCCACTCCCTTTATTCCTCCTCTTTTTACCCTGAATCACTGTCATTTTAGCTCTAAGCAGAGAATCCTGTTCCTAGGCCTTCCAGTTTTAAGGCCTACTTTCCACTGTTAAAAAAAAAAAAAAAAATCAAAGTCACATTTATTCTTTTCACTATTACTTAATAGTGGCAATTCTAGTGAATGCAATAAATACTGGAAAGAAGACAAAATTATTATTTATAGATTTCAATGTTATTGAAAATCTAAAAACCTCAAGAGAATTACTTGAAATATTATTACAGCTATTGAGGGAAGAAAGTAAAACTAAAATAAATAACAAATATACTGAATAAAACGGAGCAGTAACATGTTTCTGAGTAGTAAAATAATGCTGCAAAGATAATGAGTCTTTCCAATAGGCCACACATTTAATAGTGGGTCCTGTTTTTTGCCTTAACAAAATGTTTCTGATGCTCATCTTGAAGACTTTGTTATACTGGCCAAAGAAAATTTAGAAATCACATAAAATAAATAAAAACAATATATGATATAGTTATTGTAAAGCTACAGTATTTTAAAAATGTTGCAATGACATAGGAAGAAACAGATGATCTGTTAAACACATGCAGCAACCTATTGTCTAACAGGTAGTGATTCACTTCCTGGTGGCAATGAACCAAATAGACGAGGTCCTTATTCTCCAGCACCTTATAGATAAGAAAATGGGAAAAAATTAAAAGCTCAGAAATAGATATATATCTCCAAGAATTAATTTTTATTTATTGATTGATTGACACGGAGTCTCACTCTGTCACCTAGGCTGGAGTGCAGTGGCGTGATTTTGGCTCACTCAATCTCCGCCTCTGGGTTCAAGCAATTCTTGTGCCTCAGTTTCTTGAGTAGCTGGGACTACAGGCATGCGCCACCACAGCCAGCTCATTCTTTCTATTTTAGTAGAGACGGGGATTCACTGTGTTGGCCAGGCTGGTCTCAAACTCCTGGCCTCAAGTGATCTGCTCACCTCAGCCTCCCAAAGTGCTGAGATTACAGGCGTGAGTCACCACACCCAGCCCCAAGAATTTATTATGATATACACGGTATTTGAAATCCTTGGTGAAAGGATGGATTTAATAAGTGGTTCTGGGATAACATATTAATTCCTTGAAATAAAAATAGATCTCACCTTCAAGCTAAAAACAAAAAATACTAAATTGGAAAAGAAAAGGTGAATTATGTATATACTTTGGGGTGAAGAGCACCTTCATTTACTCACGACAGACACATAAATAAAAACTAATAATAACTGGGGGAAAAAAGACTAGACCATCATTAAAAACGTGCCAAAACCCAAAAACTTCAGCCTTACAAACACACACACACACACACATATATATATATATATACACACTCGTATATACAGATTCTAGTGTTGGTCAGGCTATAGGAAGCTGACATACTCATATAATGCCATCGGATTGTAAATTG